TCGTTGCCTCCTACGGCTACGGTGGAGGTATTCGAACCCACCTCCACACGGACACTGACTGAACTCCACTCTAGACTTGTCCTGCTTATAACGTCTATGCACGAACTGTATGGAAAACACCGTTCCTCTTTTGCCGTTCAACTATTGCTTAGTGGACCACGCAGAAAACACCATTACTCTGTTGTTTGTGGGCCGCTGTCTAGCAACGGCCGTTGTTTCGTTGTTCGTTTCGTGGTCGTTGCCTACAAATGTGTCTAATATGTCACATTACATTCTGAACAACTGACAGCGTCAATAAGCAAGCTACACACGGGAAAAGCAACCTTATGGTCCTTCGTTCCCAAAATAGGGAGATCTGAATTTTTAATAATTGTTACAGGCTGAGGGGCCTCAGACCTTTTATACGCTTCAAAGGAGACTCAGACTAAAAACGTTGGGAACCACTGACCGTTTTAACTGACGTATCAGTGTCACTAGTCAAGAGACCTGTATTAGCTTACCGCCTTATTCAGATTAATTACGCACCTTTACTCCCTGTACAGGATTTCAATGTGACAGAAACAGAATTCCTAGCGCTTGATGTGACTAAAATTGCTATGATTTAGAAATTATTAAATACTAAAATGTAAGCATACTGCATAGACTCTTTTAGAGTCATTTTAATAAATTATATAATTCAAATTTTAATTTATTTTATTTTTTTTTTGGCAACATAAGGCACACCTTTGCAGAAATTTCTTTTGGTCCGGCTAATTTCATATTTAAAAAAAATACTGAGTCTTGAATTCCGCTGCGATGTCAGGCATCTTTCTTTGTGAGTGGGCTTTTGTGTGTTTTCTTATGTATGTTATTATTTTGTTCACATTTACTGATTCCAAACCGTTACCGTAACCTTCTCGGTTAGATATAAGCATATTCCGTATAAGCGTATTTCATTCAAACTCGCCTCAGAGAAAGAAAAAGAATATGAAACAAGTGACACTTTAGTGTCTAACAGCTGTATAACGGTTACGGTGTTTTGATACAAGGCACCTTATTGATTGACAGACAGGTTACTCCGAAACGTTGGTACCTGTTATCTAAACCACACGGTGTCACATCTCACAAGAGCGTAATCTTGAATATTAACGCAATTTCATGACAATAATATAATCTGGGTTTTCCCTGCGTTTCTACGGTAAAGAGGAACTGGGACTCATACTTACTTACTTAGTAACTTACTTACTCACTCATGGAGCTGAGCCATTTTTGAGGAGCCACCAATTCTGCAGCTACTCAAAAATTTCTCTCCATTTTATGGAACACCAAAGCTCATTACCGTGTTCACAAGAGCCCTCCACTGGTCCCTATCCTCAGCCAGATCAATCCAATCCATACCACCATCCTATCTCTCTAAGATCTATTTTAATATTGTCCACCCACTTACTCCTTGGTCTTCCCAGTGGTCACTTTAGTTCTGGATTTCCCACCAATATCCTATATTCATTCCTCGTGTCCCCCATTCGTGCTACTTGGCCTGCCCACCTCATTCTCCTTTACTTGAGCATTCTAATTATACTTGGAGAGGAGTACAAGATTCTCATTATGCAGTGGAGCCGGGCCTCATGACTTCATTAATGTTGTAGCCGACGGACAGGGAAGCAGAATAAGCGACACGTGACTGAAGGTTGTTTTACTGCCTCAGAATACAGGGAACAGTGTCAATGGCAGGCAATGGGCCTTTAGATGGATATTACTTAAAACGAAAGCTTTTAGCACTGTACCACGCGGTGCTAGGGGACCAATTGTTGGAACACGCATGAATTTGTTTAATGTATCCTGCAATTTCTTGATGGCTTCTAGTTGAATTTGTGTATATAGAAATAAGAGGTTGTCAAAGTAATATTCGCATAGTACGTGGGTGGCAAACTATGGTTCATGGGCTGAAAGCGGCCCGAAATTTAAACCAATATGTACCGCTTGTTTACTGTAATCGAGACAAATTAAATCGCCGTAAACTTTTTTCCCTTCTGAGATAGGAAGCCGTGGAGTGTAGTAGAAAGTTACCAACTTTCCGGAAAGCCCTTCTTCTCCAACTCCATTGTAGAACAGGTTCGCCGAAGACATTAACTTCATAATGTGACGCGTTACCTTACGTCCATCACCGCGACAACCGCTACAATCGGAGCGGACACTTCCACGGCAAAGAATAAATGGAAATTGTGGAGTTCCCGCAGCGACAAATCGTAGCAACGAATTGTAGTTGAGTAACAACGGATGAGACGAGACACGTTACCGGTGTATTCTATAAGAAGCGTCCCCGTAACAACGGACTGTCTGAACAGCGGTAACGGAACCGTGAGGAGTGGTGTCCGGTATCCGGTCCGCATAACCCCTATATAAGCAGAGCTTACGGCACATACAGAGCATTGAGAACGAGACAGTCTTGGGATAGCCGCCACCAGAGACGGTTGAGATCCAACCACGTCCAAGGATAGTTGAGACGTCGCATTAGAATATTGGAGTATTGAGTATTGGGCCAGAAGTCAAGTGATATTGCAAGTGATAATAATTGTAGGTTTGTAAGTGTGAGTGTCCAATAAAGATTCGCTAAATCCGAGACCCATATGAAGTTATTTGTCGCGTGACATACCCAACACTTGACAATATTTATGGACATGAATATCTCATGGTTTGCAAATATATAACAGAGTGAACAAACAAATAAAGGAGAGAACGTAAGGATAAATTATTAAGATACAGTTACATACATAAGTAATACATAAAATTAATTAAACACACAATTCAGAGAATGCATGGTTGTATAATTAGAAAAATAAAGGAGTAAATTAATATGCAATAGATTAAAAATAACAATATTAACAAATAAATATCGGGTACCTTGTAGCCATAAAGTTTTCTACAGAACACACATTTGGGTCCTCAGTTTTCATTTACTATTTTTAGAACTGGTTATGACACTTAGTGTTTATCTTATGCAAGAAATCCTAAAGAGGGAAGCCAGCGCCTCAGAAACGTATGTGATAATCCATCACTTTTACCAGACAGCAGGGATTGTCAGTGTACAACATTCTGAAGAATTTCGGTTCTCCCCCCACCGATTGTACTTACTTACACATGTCACATGTCATTAAGAGCAAATTTGTGCGCTGTTTGCCCAAGTTCGTCATCCGCCTGCCTGCGCTCCAGTTTCTCTTTAGGGTGCAGAAGCTACTTTGGCAGACGCGAGGACAAGGGGAGGTAGGACAAACCTACCTAACATAGTAAATCAACTGTTTTCTTTTTGTTGGACAATAATCATATTGAAAAATATATACAAGTCAACTGGGAGCTTGAATAGCTCAGTCGATATAGCGATGAGATGCGGTCTTCAGAACCGGAATTCGATTCCCCATAAGAGCAAGAGATTTTTCTCTACCCCACAATGTTCAGACCGGTTCTGGCGTTCACCCAGCCTCCAATGGGTACCGGGGCTCTTTCCCCGGGGGTAAAGCGGCAGGGGCGTGAAGCTGATCTCCCATCTGCACCTAATGTCAAGGTCAAGAATGATTAATATAAACCTCCACTCCCCCATACGTCTTCATGGCGTTCTACTTGATTAATTAAGCTCGGCGACACGTGGGCAACAACGACTTTTGTACAAACCATATATATATATATATATTGTCGCGTGTTGACTATGCCGCCATGTAACGCGATAAATAAGTTACGCAGGTCTCGGATTTGGAGATTCTTTATTGGACTCTCGCTTTTACACACGCAAGTACAATTATGATCACTTATAACATCTGCGGACGTTTCTTCTTCACAGATATAATTACTTGTACCGCTATCCTCGGTCAAATCTCTTGGCCCTTTCTCGAAGAACTCTTCCTGCTAGAGTCGAATACAAACTCAATACAAACTCAACTGTCAAAAACTGTCTGGTCCCTTCCAAGCCGGACTTTTATAACCTGGTCTCTGCCGAATAGAGAGAACCTTCTCCCAGGGTTTGATTTCACGTGCCTGTGCTTGTTACCGCGGAAATATGTTATTCCCGCTGTTTCAAACAATTCATCGCCACGGATATTCCTACACAACGGTCTGTTCGTATCCAATTCGTCGCTATGGGAACTCAACAATTTCCACGTATAAGTTGTCGCTGAAGTGTGCGTTCCCATTGTAGCCGTTGCGCAGCGATGGACGTCATATAGCACGTCACAATATATACATACATACACACACACGATTATATACAAGTGTATATGCACCTTAAGCGAGGAACTTGCTTTACATTTGGTTACTTTTTGAGAAGTCGATTAAATTCAACTTGAGTTTCATGTAGAACAAACAGGCCTACTGTCGGGTGATTATTATGAAGAAGATTAGATGGACGTGTCATGTATCAAAACAAACAAACTCCGTGGTCTGATGCCCGCAAGCGAACTATACCGACTGAGCGGCCGCCGCTTGTCGGCGAAGTTAGTGCCAACTTTAGTGGACAGAGGGTGGCGCGTGGTCAGCGCAACGGATCCCCACGGCCGTTAATCTCGGTTTTCTAGGGCGGAGTCCCTATTTCCTTGAAATAGTTCCTCAGTTATCCTCACGAGACTGAGTGGCCCCCGTTCAAGACCCAGTACCTCTCAAGAAATCTGGTAACCCCGAAATCGAAACCGGGAAACTCTGAACACTAGATCACAGAGGCCTCATGAGGACAATATAATTGCATATAAAATTTTAGTCTATAAATCTAAGAGATCAAAGTGTACACTGTAGAATAATAATATATTAAAATCAATATTAAGGTAATCAAGTGCAGGAGTGAGGATTAGCTGGATTCTTGTGAACACGAGATAGCGGACGTCAGGTTTTTATAAAACATAAAATTTCTTGGCCAATTCCTCGTGAATACTCTTGTCCATGGAAATAAATAATTAATTATTTGTTTTCTTCGATAGATTGTAAGACGGCTGTCGATTATAACGGAAAATGATGTTCTTCCTGCATCTTGTTGCCAACAGATGATGCCGTGTCCGACAACGGAATTCTCTCCGGAGACTCCTCCTCGCCCCCGAGCCTCTTGTTCGCTAGATCACCGCCTCCTGCCGTTGGACCACATCATCTGCATTTAGGTCATCACACGCAGCTCGGCAAGCCAAGCTTCTTGTCACCAAACCACCACCATCAACCGCAACAGCAGCAGCAGAGGAAGAAGCGGTCAAGAGCCGCATTCTCACACGCCCAGGTATACGAACTGGAGAGACGGTTCAACCAGCAGCGGTACCTGTCTGGGCCGGAACGCGCCGACTTGGCGCACGCTTTAAAATTAACAGAGACACAAGTGAAAATTTGGTTCCAAAACCGGAGATACAAAACGAAGCGAAAACAGTTACAATTACAGGAACAGAGTACGACTGCAACAGTGCTGACATCAAGCGGATCAAATTCATCTTCAGCGAAACGAGTTGCTGTGAAAGTTTTGGTAAGGGATGACCAACCTGTGTTAGCAGGAGGATTCAGTGCTGGCAACAGCAAGTCTGGTGCACCCTCGTCTATACTATACCCACATACAGGCTCCCTACCCCTCCCATTTCCTTATTACTACTACCCTTTACTTTGTGCACCGACTCCGACCGTAGCGCCGCCACCACTTACTGCATCGCCTACGTCACAACACAGTAACGGCAGCACTAGTGCCCCTCAGTGACGTAAGTGCGAACTACTGTGTTGAAGCTAACACTGGGAACCATTCTGTTTTAATATTTTGTTCTTCTGGAACGTAATGATTTCGAAATAATGTTTGGATCAGTTTCCACAAACAAGTCCCGTAGTGAAAAATGTGAAACTCTTAGAAACATTCTGAAGCTGTTAGTAATAGTTCCATCATGTTAAGCATCGAAGCAATGAAACACTCCTTGTCAGAACAGAATGAAACGTATGTCTACAGGGTTTAAAAGGTTAAATATATGCAGCGTTGTCAAAATAAATGCTATAGCCTATATAGGAGTATCCGTGATTTAGTTCCTTCATTCAAACTGGATCCAAAGGCTCCAAAGTGTATGCTATTTCCTAGAAAATTTTCGGGCCCATCTGTTTAGTAATCCAGCTGCACTGAAGCGGGCGGTGATTGCACGATGCAACACAGTTATCTCGGCAGGAATCGGTGATTTCCCACTTTCCTCAACGATAGCCAACTGGTCCGTAATCGTCATCGTCGCGAGTGGGGGTATATCATAAATACCTGAGGCTCGGCGGCAACCGGTCCCCTATGTTTCAGAGGTTGTGGGGGACCTTAATGAACAGTAATGGGAACTTGCGCCTGCCAGTCTCATATTCGTCAAATTTCATACACTTCTGGCGCCATGCAGAAGAGTTTCTGAACTCACTTAAAGTAGATCAAGTAATCCTCCAAGATTCAAGAGAGATATTTATAAAATTCCATTTACCATTACTTCAGGCCCTAGAAATCTTTAAATAGTTTTAAACGAATTATTAAAGTTTTATTGATGTGGAGTAAATTAATGGTTTATTATTAATGACAAATCAGAAAGTTGTATCTATCTGCTGAAAGCCGTTTAAATCCGTTACGTTGTTATTGAACTTTCAGTAACTCTCGTGCTCAGTCTGACTTTAGTTTCCGTTGTGTGTGAGTCTCAGGAAGAAAAATTGGGTAGTGTCAAAATAAAACCAAACAGACTGGCGTTGGCAGTCTGGTATATAAGCTAAACATGTAAATTTGTCCTACTGCCCTGAGTTTAATTAATTAAACACAACGTTATGAAGACATAAGTTGGAGTGGATATATAGCCCCACTATTCTTGACTTCTGCGCTAGATGGAGATAACTGATGAGCTTCAGGTTCCGGCAGCCTTATTCCTAGAAAGAAAACCCTTGATGTGCATTTGAGATGAGGCTGGGTGGGCCCCAAAGCCGGCCTGGGCTCTGTGAAGAAAAAATAAATCTCTTGCTCTTGGCGGAAGTAGACCCCGATATTCTAGTTCCTACCCCTTGGCTACATCAGCTTCCTGGTCATCTGTAATACACTAAAATAAAATTATTGGCTGGGAGACACGGTCTAAGCTTCGTAGCCAATGTGGACTGAGTTCGACAGTTTTAAGTTTGAATGAAGTTAACTGGGACACCTAACTGAGCATGTCGCTGTGTATACACGTTGGCTCGTGTTATATTTATTTTATCAGTCTACACATATTTATAGATACGATATTTTTGGGTTTCGGTTACCACGAAGATTATTGTCTTCTGTGCTGTGTTGACGTGCAGTGTGATTGAACGCTACTAGCTTTTCAGAGGAATGTTTTATCTCCATCTTCAAGGCGAAAACCTGTAAATAATTATCATATCCCAGAAGAAAGCAATCTTTAACGTCATATATACAACGATATTATAGTTTTTCACTGATATTTATCGATCCCTTGGTCGTGACCAAGCTGTTCCCGTAGGCTATAGGCCTGCGTTACGTAGCTACTGAATCATGCTTTCTGGTTCGTCAACCCCATCAATGGCTCTGGACCTAGAGGAGAGTTGTTATATTTTAAAGTACAGTATACGTGTCTCGAAATGTTAATGGCAGATAATTTGAAAATACTCTGTATATAATGTTAGCGTAATAAATTAAATCCAACCTACATTTCTGAAATGAGTATGATTTATGTATCGAACTACTGAAAGAAAACTCTTTTAGTTTTGGATCCAGATTTCAAGTCAACTTGGAGGACAGCATGCAGGGCATACTTACCCCAGAAGGAAATATCTAATAGTAAAAAATCAAAGCTGTTTATACTCGTATTCCAGACCTCACTGATACTTGACATTACTGTTGTTGAAATATTTGTGTTTCTCAAACTTGCTGCTCTACATTTGAATTTTTCTCCATCAGAATTTCATAATTTTCTTCAGTCTGCAAGGATTATATTGTTTATATTTGCCACCATTGTCATTGCTGTGTACATTGTTTGAGGTAAACTGTCTTTCTTTTCGGTTCTTCTTCTTAGAACCTTTTGATCTTATATTCATATCAAGACTCACACTCGAATCCTGTCGGTAAATAAAGATGCTCTAGTTTCGGAAAATAGGATAACTTATAAGCTGACAAAATCTTCCTGTGTTCCGTGGGTAGCCATTCTAACAAATCAGAAAATACTCTGAACATTCCAACTTCTCTGATGGAACAGATGGTTTGTACTTACAGATCATATCAGTCATTTTTAGTAAGGACCACAAATATATCGGTGTGATTGTTAGAATAGATACATTATAAAGGTAACTTCGATAGGTGAATTATATAATTTTCATTATTTTCTATATTAATATCATATTCATCGGAAGATAAGTGCAGTTTAATAAATGATTCCATTCAGTTGTTTTTGTAGACCTCTGTAACAGTTAATGTTGATGGACAGTAATTTTGGAATGACAACTGTATATTTTGGATCTCCGCAGTATACATGCTGATCCTACAGACATTCAAGTCATGGACTTCATAATAAAGTGCAATTAAGTTGATACGGAAAAAGTTCTTAGCGCTTATTACTTCTATAAATATGTCACAAGGCGCTAAATTTTGCTTCAAAATGTTCAACTTCTCGTGGCAATAACAATGATACAGAGTAATTAATTTAAGAGTGGATTGGCTGGTTTCCGTAAGCTGTTACGGCGCGCCTCCCGCAGCAGCGCAGTAGGTGCCGAGGTTGCCATGACGGTGTAGGGAAACCGATCTACTCTTAAATGGGGGTCCCCTGTATAAAATGTTCCTTAACTGCAGGGTAACCAAAGTTTGAGTCCCACTCTCCTTAACGTAGTGATAGTAAACGAGTTTATCTCACATTTTAAAACGCGTGTGCTCAGTGAGGAGCAGTCTGAGACATGGCACTCAAAGTGCATCTTGAAATTACCTCATTCAGAATATTTATGTGTATTGTCAGTTCGTATCAAATTGTTTTAAAATATGCACGTAGCACCAACAGGTGTACACTAATTATGTAAATAAACACGTTTCAGTGAACTATATGAGTTTTTATTCCTCAAAATTTCTCAAACCTTTCCATGCTGAAATTTTCAGCGGAACAACAATTCTTAATAAATTTATTTTTTTTTTTGATAAATTTATAGCTTCAATTATACAATGCTAGCAATGGTTAAATTAAATGCTAAGAGATGGCAGGACAAGTGTTTTTAACTCTTATAATGGAACATAATTTGCTGAAGACAACCCCTAGAGAGAATAAATATCAGTTTGAAAGCGATATAAATTTATCTTATAAGAAACGTGAAATTATTAACCCACATTCATAAATTGAAACTTTTATTTTGAAAAGGATACAAGTCAGTAACTTGATTACATTCGCGCTTCTTGTCTACTCTCTTCACAAAAGTCTACAACATAAAGCTGACTGTAGTCCTACAGTTATTTGGAAAAAAGATTTGATTCAGTGACTGCTCTGATACATAATACAAGTGGGTGATACTGGGTTAGTTTTGAAAGGGGCATGAGTCATAAGGGAAAAGGAAGTTCTGAAATAACAAGATTGCGAACAATGTTTATCATTTCAAAAGATACTGAATTATTATCATATGTTATGCAGGTCTTTATAGAACTAGCGTTTATTTCTTTAATGGTGCGGATGGTACTGCATTCGTTTTGAAGAGGGAATGAATCACGAGGGAAATAAATAATTTGTTAATGGTAAGATAACGAAATAGAATCGAGTACCAGACGTTATATAAGTAGAAGCATTAGCTCACCCACAAAAAAAAAAAATAAATAAATCTATTTTAGGATACATCGGTAAACATGAAATCAAATTTTTGTTCCTCCTCTGAAGTTTCGTTCCCGAAATTCATACCCTTTTTTTGGAATGGATGTTTCAATACGCACACAAGCCTAAATACAGATGTTCGTAAATGCAATATACGAGTACGTCGATATACACATGCGTGCATATGCATACAACCACGTACATGAGCATATACACACAGGCAGGCCCACACTAAAGGCAATGTACAGTATAAATTATCAGTCTGTAACAATTCTGAGTCTACCTAAAATGACTAAAACCTGATATTTAAAATACTATGTACGTACAATCTATGTTACATATGACCTAGGATTATTTTCATACAGGCCTATTCTTTGCAGCAAGTCCAAAAAATGAACCCATAATATTGTCACGTAATGTGTGTGCAGTCACAGCGCCACCGCTAGTCTTCACAACTCATAAATGACCACAGAAACCGCTAAGACCTTTTCCACCCTGCTGTGTCATCAGTTGTTCCCTGGGAACTGCTCCTAACAGTGGAGATTCATCAGCTTCACGCGCTCAGGCCCTCTCTTCACAGCCTCCAGTGCAGAACTCAAATGAACTAACTTCGTCCCTTGCTTGTAACATCTCGGCTCGGACCACATAGAAAACATAGCTCTTCCATTGTTGTGTCCAACTGTTGCAATATTAAGATTCTTCTGCCTAGCAACGGGAGCGTTGCCTAGAAATAGTCGCTGTTTACGGAGTCACCGCTTAACAACTGGTCAGCGGCCTCCGTAGTCTAGGGGTAACGTTCCCACCTCATGACTCAAGGTACGCAGGTTCAAACCCGGCGGAGGTCGTGGAATTTTTAAAGGGCGGAAAAATTTAGGGAACAAGTCCTCCGGGAGGGACTTTAAGCCGTGTGTCCCATGTCGTAGATTTACGGCATGTAAAAGAACCTCATGTCTCTAGGAGACCTCTGAGCTAAATCAGGCAACAATTTCCCGCCCAAGTAGTTTCCAATGCCTCTGGTAGATGGGGGAAATATCAACGTACCGAGGGCCGACTTCGTTGGCACAACGGGTCTGATAGCACGCACCAGTACGGGTAGGGTATGGAGGCTAGTAGAATATGAAAGGGGGACGTACAATAGATCAACAACTGGTCGCGGTGCATGGGGAAAACCACCCCCTCCAATAATAATAATAATAATAATAATAATAATAATAATAATAATAAC